GTAGCAGACACGAGCAATGAGTGTATGAAAAGAAATTAAAATGGAGGCTTTTTAGGGCCTCCTGTAATCAAGTGGGAAAAATGTTAGGTAACAGGTGCAAAAGCCCTGAGCCAAGAAAATGTAAGGGAGTGTTTGGTACATGCCTAGCAACTCACTGATCTCTAGGGCTGACACAATTGGCTACAAAGAAATTACACATATCATCCTGTCTAGTTATAGGAAAGAAGATAAGAACTACCAAGGCCCACCGCCTAGGCTCCAGCCCAAACTGGGTGGAGTGACTGACCATGTCATTTTAATCTAGCTATAATTGCAGATCCTCTTCTCCACCCCGTTTTCTTAGGTGGTCATGGGAAATTGCGTGGGCAAAATGATTGAGACATGTCATAATTCTTCCATAAGTTTCACGTCAATCACTTCCTGTGGGCTGGTCCTCTAGGAGGGACTTCAAGCTCCAAACCCGTGTGCATCAATAAAACCTGTTCTAGGGTTGTCATTTTCGACCTCTCTTTCTGAGAAAACCTACTTTCAGTTCTAAAAGTGTCTTTCTATTTTAATCTATTTACCTATATGTATGTATGTATATAAATACACACACACATATATATCTTTTTTTTTTTTTGGTCAGACTGGAGTTTGAACTCGGCTTCGCACTTGCAAAGCAGCTCTACTGCTTGAGTCATACTGCCAATTCATTTGGTTTTGGTTATTTTGGAGATGGGATCTCAGAAACTATTTACCCACGCTGGCCTCGAACCTTGATCCTTTCCATTTCAGCCTCCCAAGTAGCAAGGATTACAGGTGTGAGCCACTGGTGCCTGGCAAACTTCACTATTCTTAATAAACTATACTTTTCACTATTCTGCTTTGTGTCTTGCCTGAATTCTCCTCTTGCCAGATGATCAAGATAGCTGTGCTGACCTTCAGGTAACAATACATAGTTTGATTTTTTTTTTTTTAAAATAAACATTTCTCACTTTAAAATAATAGAGATTTTCTTGGGCACCTTTTAAGATCCAAAGACATTGGATAAATTGGCTAAAAACACAGGAATAACCTAGGAAATCCTGAGGGGGTTAGAACTGGGGTTGGTCTGGACTGCTTTTTATTCCTTCACTCCCCAGCTTTTTAAAAATTAGTATATATTAATTGTACAAAGGGGTTACCTTCTATAATTTCCATATATACATATAATATATTTTCATTAAATTTACTGTTTCTGACTTCTTAAAAGAAATTGTTTAAACTTTCTGGGCTTCTGTATCACTTAGAGTTCTTTTTTTTCTTTTTGGTGGTACTGGGGATTAATCTCAGGGCCTCTCACTTGCTAGGCATGCCCTCTACTTCAGCCATGCCACCAGTGCCAATTACTTAGTGTTCTTAAACTTTATGTAAGTAATGGGAAGTGGCTATGGTTAACTGAAGCCAAAGGAGATTTATTGAAAGGATATTGCAAGGCTCACAAATACTTGAAAGGTCATTGACAACCAGGCTTGGAACTTGACAAGAACCAAGCATCTGGTTGACCTGAGCTAAAAGGAAACTGGGGAGCTATTAGGGAGCACAGAATGCATAGCAGTCAAATAAACCCCTCCCACATACTGTAGCTTTCTTTTCACTAAAAAGATCATCTCTAACAAGCCTTCTGACATCCTCTGCTTCTGTGTTTGGAGGAGAATTTGCAGGAGAGGTGCATATGCAAACAGGGTGATCAGAAATGCTTTGGCCGGATGTGTATTTGAAAGCTCTATGCAGCAGAGGGTGGCTGGGTAGCACAGAGGCTGACCAATTTGGTATGCAGCAAACAGGAAGTAAAAGGATCTTAAGCAAGCAAAATGTTTGGGTAGACAGATTATGAGGAACATGCACAAATGGCATTTCCAACAAGCGTTGGAAGCTTCCAAATGTTTCTATCAGTTACTGCCTTCACAGGACGGTCTTAACTATGGGAAAGAGACTGAAACAGGTTTCCGCATGCCTTTGAAGTGAGAAATAGTACTTAGCTTCATATTTGCAGGCAACACACACCTAAGCCATAAACAGATTCAAAAATTAAAAGTTGCAAAATGCCAACCCATGGGTCAGATAGAAGACATGCAGAAAAGAATTATTTACTGTCTTAGTCTATTTTGTGCTGCTACATCAGAACATCAGAGACTAATTTACAGAGAGGACAAAGTTATTTATCACGGTTCTGGAGGCTGGTGAGGCCAAGATCAAGGGGTTGGTATCTTCTGTGGGCCTTCTTGCTGTGCCATAGTATTGTGGAAGGTATGGCATGGGTGAATAGAGGGAAGTGGGCCAAACTCATCCTTTTTTAAGGAGCCCACTCCTGAGATAATGGTATTAATCTATTCATGAGAACAGAGGGTTCATGGCCTAATCACCTCTTTAGTTTTCTCCTCTTAATACTGCTGTATTGGGGATTAAGTTTCTAACACATGAAATTTGGTGGACACATTTGAACCATAGCAGTTAACAAAGATTAAGATACTTCAAATTTCTCTTGGGGAAAAAATAAAGGCTCTGGTAACATCAGGACTTCTGCCTGGGTGTGGGCTCTTCAGGCTACCATAACCTCCTTACGGTACATTTCATACATAGAACATTATCAGTACTTGGACATACTCAAGTTTCTGATCCTAGATGTAACTACTTTCTGACAACTGCCCAAGGCCAGAGTATGGGCAGCAGTCTTCAGGGCAACCAGCCTGGGCTTCCCAGGGTGGCCTTCTAAAGGCCCTAACATCTATCCTTGCGACATCTTTGGTAGGATACTTCATTCCTGATTTAATGACCTATAACTGCTGAAAACTATTTGCTCTATCCACTTCAAGTCACAACTGTCTTTTCTATGGGAGCCAATCTTCAAGCACATACTTCCCCAAATGACTCGAACTACCTGATTATAGAAGTGAGAATTCCCATGTAGCATCTTCAAAAATGTAGGGGAAAACCAACAACCATGCATCTGAAAAAAACCACTTCTGTTTGACTTCTCTGAAGGTGACTTCCCAGAAAAGCCTTCCCTTAGGATTATTTATTTAGTGTGAATAGCTGTGGATATGCTGGACACTAATTGATGATGCCTCTGCACAAATCGGATCCCATTTGGATGCTGGCCCTCATATATTTCTGTCTTCAACTCTAGCACACTGGATTCTGCTGGATCCAATCTCAATAAAGGAGCCACAACATTTTTATTTGCCTGAATTCTTTTGATTGCTTCAAATTGCTTTTAGGATAACCTTTAAGATGCTTAGAGGAGTCTACAAATTCCTGCATTGCTTCTTTTTTATGTCTCAGGCTTCACTTTCTATTACATCTTCCCTGGCTCTCTGCACTTCAACACTTGGGTTGTTTTTTCAATTTGGGTAAAAAGCCAAGCCTGTTCCCTCCTCAGGTTCTGTATATCTGCTATTTCTTCTTCTTGGGGGGCTCCCTTTCATCCCCAATCTTTCCCGTCTCCTACTACCATCTTTAGGCTTTTTTTTTTTTTTATGCTTGATGTTGTTGTTACTAGTGTTTGAACTTAGGGCTTTAGCTTGTTAGGCAGGCACTCTACAGCTTGAGCCAACAACCCAGCCCTGGGCCTTAACTTTTAAATGCCATGTGGTCACAGAAGTTTTCTTCTCTTCCACCTTCCTCCCACTTTCCCACTTCTCACTCCCATTTTTTCAGTCCTCTGCACTCTTCTTTCAATTGCTCTTAGCACAATTTGTTTCTCCACTAATATGTAAACTCTAAGAACAGAGGCTTTATCTATTCTGAACTCCACTGAATGTTTGGGATCAGCACAGTGTCTGCCATAACAGATTGGGTGAGCAATACTTCTCTGTCAAATATGAAAATACAGGTATTCCTCAGGTCAGTACAACACTGTATTTATGTGATCTTCTCTACTGAATGAGACATCCTCTCTTATTAAATATATTTTCATTACAGTCTCGTGCAAGTAAATCCAGGATGGTTTATCAGAGGACAAGCTGGTAGAAAGGAAAGCTAATAACCTTCCAGGATCCGAATGTGGGAACCCAGAAACTAGTTAGAAATGGGAATTCTTAGGTTTCATTCCAGACTAATCAGAAGACTCTGGGGATGTGACCCAACCAAGTGTTTAAGAAGTCTTCCCGGTAATTCTCACCTACACTAAGTTCGAAAACCATTGCTTTAGTTTGTACTTAAAAAAAAAATTTCACCATGAATTCCTGGTATTATCTTAAGAGCAGAATCTTACCACTCCAGTGGGAAGTCTTTGTCACCATCCAAAAGCCTTAATAAAGGTCTATTGTATAGACTAGATTCTGTAGACTATAATTCCTGGGAGGCCTGCCTTCCTTTCGGGTACAGGCCTGCCCTCTGGGGAGACTACAATCTAAAAACAAGCAATAATGCAGAAGTGCAACTGAACAAAGCTGAGAACAAAGGCGGGGGGACCAGGGTGCACGCCTTTGTTCAAGCCTTTCCTGGACAGCTCACCCACATTCTATTTGGCTCTTTTCCACCCAGAGAAGCCGCCACTCAAGTGTTAAGAATGGTTGCCTGCCGCTGACAACGTTTTCAATCAGGCTGTTTTCCCTCGGGCACTGGAGAAGAAATTCATAGCTGCAGGGCGCGCTCCATCCTGTCCTCAATCCAGCATAGAAGTGACTGGAACCCTAAAGGTGGAACCCACAGGCTGCAGAAGAACCTTCCAGCTGCAGAAGCTGAACTGGAAGCTCAGGCTGACTTCTCTGCCTCTACCCTGCTGGAAAACGCGAAATGGATTTCTCCAATGTGCAGACGGGAGCCGCGGCCGGCGGCCGCACACTACTACGCATGCCCACTCGCCCCTCCCGCTCGGAGCCGGAAGGGGGAGCGCTCGCGGCCTGGGCCTGGCCTGGCCGGGGCGTCGGCACCGGCGGCCATCTTGGCTTCCCCAGGAAAGGCGGCGTGAGGGGAAGAAGTTGTAGGGTGGGGGCAGGAGTGAGGAGGAGGGAAGAAAAGGGAGGGGAGGCGGTCGCGGCGGGGCAGGGCGGGGACTGCCTGCCTGCCTGGGTTGCGGAAGTGGTAGCCGCTGACCCAGGCTGCTGCCTTCTTGCTACTGCTTCGGCTTCCCAGCAAACCCCAGGACAGAGGGCGGCCGGGCTGTGGATGGTCAGATAGCTCCCATCTCCTGCCGCCAATTTCTGGCCCCAACCAGCACGGAGCAGACGGCGGCAGCGGCAGCAGCAGGCGAGGAGGAAGATGGCGGGACGGCTGCCAGCCTGTGTGGTGGACTGTGGCACGGGGTAAGGGGGAAGGGTGGCGACGGGCTGGGCTGGGGAAACTGAGGCGGAGAAAGGAAAATGGCGGGGGGAGGGAGGAGGCCGGGAGATGAATGGAGCGGCGGCCCGGCCAGCAAGGGGTGGGGCCGGCAGCCGGCGCCTCCCTCGTTTTCTCGCTTCACCCTCCTGAGATTGGGGCGCGGGTCCCAAAACCCCCCAGCAGCTCCCTCGGCGCGACCCCTCCCCGCCCTTCCCCCACGGCGGTGGGCAGCGCCGCCCGGGTAGGTGGGTACGGTCACCCGCCCGGGGCCGCGGTCGTCTTGGGGCGCTCGCGAACCCGGCCCACCGCGTCCCTTCCTGCCAGGGGAATTGGGGACCCAGGGGGCCGAGCGCTGGGACTGGGCTGGCCGAGGAGCGAGAAAAGAGAAGCGCGCCTTGTAGGTTTTGCAAGATCTCTGTGACAACATTCTGCCTGGGGTGTGGGTGGGGAAAGGGAAGGCTGGGACTGTGAAAATGGGAACCTTAGAATGGGGCTTTGATCCGACCACCCACCTCTTTTCCACTCCACTCGCGGGCCATTGCCATTTCCCACGGCGCTTTGACCGCGGAGCCCAAGTCCCATTTTAATTCGAGAGAGAAAGATGTCATGTGTTACTTCTCTTGCCTCAAAAAAGTCCCCCAGTGAGCAAGCGCGCTGCAACTTCCTTAGTTTTGTCAAAGCCGCTTCCTGCTTTCAGCCTTTCATAGCCTTATAAGGTAGTTTTTCGTTTCCAACGTGAGCCCATCTCTTTAGAACTTTGAAAATTTAAGCAGGTTGCGAAGAGAGTGAATTCTCGGTGCTAGGTATCAGTGTGTTTTAAGTTTAAAAACTTGTTCCTGTGTCCCACTGGGGAGGGAAGAGAAGCACCCTGGAAAAGAAACTTAAGTTGTAACTCGTTGGTTCTGTGACAGTCTTGAAAGCTCCAGGAAGGTGTAGAAGTATAAAGAAATGGGCTTAATTGCAAGTAGTTGTTTCTGATAGATATGTAGCATAGTTTACTAAAACAAAGAATAGCTTTCAGACAGTTACTATATGCTCTGCACTTAGAGAGTAGACTGTATAGTATTAGTGCTGATTAGCAAGTTTATGTTGAAATATTAATACTTTTTTTGGGGGAGGCTCTAGTTTTTTGAGGGTGGTACCAATTGCCAGCTTTTTATTCCTTTTATTCACCATACTAAATTTCTCTTAAAGTCTTCATTCTCATACCTTTATGCTAGTGTAGCAGTTTCTAAAATCTCAGGCAGAGAGAAACAACCAAGTGAGTATTTTTTCTTAGAAAACACAAGTGTAGCCTTGGAACTTTCTGGGTTTTTCTTGTGGACATCTTATTAAAGTTAGTTTCTTGTAATCTAGTCTCACTTTCCAGAACAAGTGTTTTTTATTTTTCTTTCTCTTAGTATAGTGAGTAGTTTTTTGTTTAGGGTCAGTTTTAAAATTAAATTTGTCCTGAGTGAGTAGGACTTTTCACGTGTGCTAAAGTGATAAATACTGCCTCATAATTAATACTTAATGCTTTAGAAATTGCTGAATCATGAATAAAGATAGTGTAGATAATTATCCCCCTAATAAATAACATGGTGAAATCTTAAGTAGGATGTTTCTTTTTCTGTCTCCATTTTCCTCCCTTTTGAAATAAGAGTTTTGTTTATTTTGAATTAGTGTGTTAGGTATCTGATTGAGCTTAACTGTCCTTAAGTGATCCCTTTCTGAAAGGGCAACCATGAATTTAAAACACATGCTAAGTAACTAGGAGGATTGGTGAGATGGGTTCAGTCTGTTTGTGTTTTAATATCCCAATTGTTACGTCATTGTATTACTTCATTGGTCTTAGCTCACACAGAACGATTGCTGACTGGACACCATTATGTTATGGATGGAACTGATTAGGAGTCCCCTTCTCTACCAACTATTTTTTTTACCACCTGTCATAATCTGAATTTCCCACTTTAGAGTTTCATTTATTTTGGTTCTTAGAAGGCTTTTGTTTTTTCTTTCTAGTTGCCTATTGAATGCAGCCACTGAAAAGTTACATCCTCAGCTTTATTAGCACACATGAGAGGATCTTGAGACTGGGCTGGGGATAAATAAGCATGTTTAAGAATGGCCTTAACAGGGAGTTTTATGTCCAAAATAACTGGTCCCCAAATTGCTAACTGTGCCCCTATAATTTGAGTATTTTTTTGTGCTTTAGAGAATGTATTCATCTGAGATCGGTAACTGCAGTTACTCACTTAGTCCAAGTGAAAAGTTATAACCAGAATCAGGTTGCTCATTCCATTTCATTATATCATTTAGACAAAAGGTGGCCAAAAAAGTGGCTGTCTTCTAAATAAACCAGGTGTCTTAGGTAGAGAAGCTGTCAGAGAAAATGTGAAACATATCCCAGAACTTTGAATTAGGGGCTGGGCATGTAGCTCAGTGGAAGAGCACCTGCCTAGCTTTGGAAGCACCCTGAGCCCACTATTGCAAAAAAAAAAAAATTAAAATATTAGAAAATTAGAATCCTCAAGCAAAATTCAGCTTAGGCTCAGGTCATCAAAGTAAAAACTTGTTTTGGAAAGAATTTAGAAAGAAATGCTTCCTTCATATTGATAGGTGATCAATACACCTTTTTGGTCTGCATTAGAAAAGCATTGTAGAATAAAAATACACCAAATAGATAGGACTGGTTGCTTAAACAATGAAATTACAGGGAATGAGGCTGTATAATGTTATAGTGCCTGTTCAATTTGTGCTGGGTTCAAGCCCTAGCACAAAACAAAAACAAACACAAACTAAATTACACTGATGGGAAAAGCGCATTTTAAAGCATTAAAAGATTGTAATACTTGGAAAGATAAGGATATCCCAAGTGGCATTGTTTTGTGTGTTTTCACTCAGGTTTCTCAAACATTCAAGAGAACTCCTTATATCCTTTTATTATGTTGAGCTTGGTTACAGAGCTTTGCATTGTGAATTTTATTTTTGCCTGTATGTCTTTTGATCATCACAGCAGAGATTAATATAGTCTTATTTTACAAGTTTCGAATATATTTGCATCTAGAATAAATTAAGGAATTTCTTGAGGCTTAAACTTCTTAGCAGTCTTAAAATATAAGCATAAGTATTTTGTTGGAGTCAGTGAATGGGGAGGGTATTTAATTCATCCTGTGTCCAGATTCCAGAAGGTAATACAGAGGATCTTGTTTGAGAGCAGTGGGGAGGAGCTAGGTGGATGGAGGAAGGCATGCATAGGAAATTCCTGTTTCTTACGCGTTTTAACAGTCTATTTCTCTAGCTATTTCCAAAGGCAGAAACATTCATAATATATTGTTAACCAAAAGCATTCTTTAAAATTGTTATTCCTTGATGGCTTTTGCATGTTGTTTGATGTAAGTATAATGGACATGCTCCTGTTAAGAAGTCAGATTCTTAGACTTAGCTAAAAGCTTTCTTTTTCTGCCAGTCTTCTTTCCTCCCTGCCAATTTTGTGTTGAAATACTTAATATTGACTTTGGATTGTGTATATATTGTGTCTAATGAACTTTCCAGCCTTATTGTTAAACACAGTGCAGAATTTTTATTTTAAGCTCAGAAAGAAAAGGTTCAGTACTGGAGAAACTGGTGGCCAGGCTTTTTATTTGCCTTTATCTTATTTAACCTGTGACAGTTATTTTTGCTTAATTTTACAAGTGAGAAAGTAGGTTTTAAGGATTTAAATTATTTTGTTAATGTCCTTTAGTAAGCAGGTGGTTGGAGCTGTGTTTAGGCCCTGAGTTCTTTCTGTTAATACTACAGGGACTACTGGGCCACCATTCAGAACTGTGCATTACTTTATTTTTGTAAGTTAATTGTAGTTACTACTGTTTAAAATAATCTTATAAAAATAATAGTAGTCTTATGAATTTGATTTGATTAACCAGAGAAACCTTGTTGTCTCTTAACTACACTATTTCTTCTTAGACTATTTCCTTGTCAATTTGCTTAAATTTATGTGTCAGGAACTATGCTGAATAGTTTATGTTATCTCAGTAACTTTTCACATTGACCTGAGAATTATTTGTTTTATAGATAAGAAAATTTAGGCTTCTATAGTTTAAGCTACTTGCCTAAGGTATTGTAGCAAATGAAGTAAGTGTGCTATTCTCCTTATATAGAGGATGAACCTTTGGCAATTTTGAATCATTTAGATATTTTTGTTTTTTTGGAGGGATGGGGTAGTTTATGATGTTATAAAAGAACAAAGCATTGTTAGTAACCTGAGGATGATTTGCACAAGTAGAAAAAGGAGTACTATCAAATTGAGGTTTACTGTGTACTTAGCAGTAGGCCAGTCACTCTTATAATGAAAATGTCTTACACAGTTGCCTCTCCAGAATCTTACTTACACAAGAGCTAAAACCATTAAAAAATTAAAGAGTGGTAGATAACTGAAAATCAAATGTTAGGACATGTACTTTTCAAACAACAGAGTAGCTATTCTCTACACTGTAAGGAAAGACATATTATTGTGGTTAGGAAGTCAAGCAAGTTGTATTGAATACTGAATTTGACCTATCCTTTTAAGGGTTTGAATAGATACACAGGAGAGCATTTTACAAAGGGAAGAAAAAGCATATATGTACAGCTGAAAGGGAAGAGCAGCTGCTTCTTAGGCTTTGCCCTATCAGCAAATGTTGCATTGCTTCCCTCCTTTATGAATTGAGGACTATGTAATAACAATGTGAATCTAGATTTTGTAATATGAAAAGGAACTAAGATTTATTGGGCTGTATACAAGGTATATATGTCAGCAAATCTTTGATTGCAAAGGAATTTTGATAGGGAATGTAAATCATCAAGTTGAATGTTGAAAGTAGAGTTTTTAAAATATTTGCAGAATGAATGCAGTTGGATCACCTGTAGAGAGATTTGAGTTGGAACATAGTAGGAACTCATCTTTATTAAATAAATAAATGAAGGAAGGAACAGGAATTAGGAATGTGGTTTAAACTGTATCAGAGACACCTCATATCCGGTAACCACAATCTCAAGAGTTGGGCCTAAGAATATCCATTTAAATGGGCTTTCTAGATGATTCTTCAGCAATTGACTCAGCACCAAATTTGCAGAAATTCTGCAGTAAGATATTGGGGATGTGGTTGGAACAGAAGATGTAAATTTGGAAACGATTGCATCTTTTGTTTATACCTTTTTTTGGCAGTTGCATTGTTGTTTATTGTTTATGACTAGCAAGGGCTTTGTAGTCAGTTGCTTATGAGTTGAAGATACACTTAGTAGCTGTATAATTTTGTACACTTCAAATTCAGCAGGTCTTATTTTTCCCATCTGTAATTTGGAGATCATACTATCTACCTTATTTTATTTATTTTTATAATTCATGAAAATAGTTCAATACACAGTACCTGGCACATTTTAAGAACATACTACATTGTAATTATAATAATCAGATAGCTCCTTCTTTTTTTGAATTGAAGTTCTTAAGGAAAGGAACACAGTGTCTTGTGCTTTTTTTATCTCTTACAGGCCTTGGCCTGCCTACCACAGTTCTTTGTACACTCAGAATGTTTTTGCTGATTTGAGAAATGGGAAGGCGGTATAGCTAGGACTTGGAAGTTGATTCTAGTTAATTATAGATAGGCATTAATGAAGATTTCAAGATGTGAGCTCGAGTGATTGGGACAATAAAGGAGTTTTAAGAAACTGAGTAAAATTAGAATTTGTAGTTGAATTTGTAATCTATAATTGGAAATGTCCTTAAGGAAGTTAAAATACAAGAACCTCTGGAATGAAGGTGAAGAGTTGGGAATCATGACTATAATTTCTAAATTGAAGCTAATAACATGAGGAGTCAAAGAAAAAAGAGCATAAAGATTGAATATCAGTGTTTCTTCTTCAAAAATTGTGGGTATGTGATCCAGCTTCTTGAGCATCACAATAAGAATGAGTGAGCACATGTGGTGAGTCATCAGATATGCTGTCAGTCTCTTATTTCATCCTTCTTCTTTTTTTTTTCTTCCCCCAAACCCTGGTCTTGCCATGTGTAATGAGTCTGGCCTCAAACTTGTGACCCTCATGCCTCCCAACCTTCCTAGTACTAGGATTATAGGCATGTGTCACCCAATTCCTAGCTTCATCTTATTTTATAAAAGGTAAAATCCTTTAATCTAGAGGGGAGTTGAGCTCATAGTAGGGCTAAACTTCCTTGTTCAGCAGGCTTATCTCCCCAAATGAGTGGAAACAGCTAAAATGCTTGGGATAGACGTAGAAGTGTGGAATGGTTAAAATACACCTTCAAGCGGTGTATTTCCTGCAAGAAAATTTCACTAGTTAATAAAAGGACTTGAATGCTTTTTTAAAAAAGTGACACTACCTATTTATAATAACCACACACATAAAGAAGCAAGAGTAAAACAAGTAATAACATTACAAAATTGTGTATTATGTCTTACTGTGGACTTAATAATACTAAACTGCAAGGTAAGATAATGTTGTTGGATTAATGTTTTAAGTTTGATTCTTTAAAATAAGATAATGATTAATATGGCATTGTTCTGATTGTTTTATAACTTTGTGGGCCTTTAATTTATAAAACAGAAAAATATGTAATTACTAGAGGAGAGAAATAACATCCTTATTTTTTAAAGGACTATTTTGTGAAATTTTTTAATAATTGTTTCATAATCTTTAAAAAAAAATTCTTTCCAAGTTGTCGATTTAAATTCAGTTCATTCTTACCTACTTTGTGTAATCAGGAAAGGAATAACCATGAATTTATGTAGTGTGGGTATACTTTTATTCTTCCTTGTTCCTCTTGGGGCACCCCTAATGCATACCTGAGAAGAATATTCATGTGCTCTGATGCTGAGCATTCCATCTTTAAACATTCTCTACTTGCTTTAGTGTTTTTTCCCCTTTGAGAAGATACAGTACTCTTCAGCAGGTATGCTTTATGCCTTCTTCAGTTTTTAGTGTGAATGAGGAGTTTCTATGAGAAGTATGGTAAAAGTCCTGAAAGGGGGAATCAGAGAGCAGAACACCTTAATTAGTTAGGATTGGTTTCAGACTTTAAAAATGTAAACCATAGGGCTGGGAGAGTGGCTCAGGTGCTAGAGCCTGTGCTTAGCAAGTGCAAGGCTCTGAGTTCAAACTCCAGCACTGCCAAGAAAAAAAAATTACTAAGCCAGGTGCTGGTGGCTCATGTCTATAATCCTAGCTATTTGAGAGGTTGAGATCAGGAGGATCACAGTCAGAAGGCAGCTGGGGTAAATAGTTTGTGAGACCCCCATCTCTAAAATAACTACAGCAAAATTGACTGGATGTGTAGCTCAAGTGGTAGAGCTTCATGCTTTGCAAGCATGAAGTCCTGAGTTCAACCCCAGTCCCACATTAAAAAAAAAGTAAATTATGCTTTTAGTATTGGTTTACATTAGAACACAAGTATGTGCTTACTTGAATTTTAGAAATTATTTTTATTAAGCATAATGTGTTTTTCTTTTACTTTAAGCATTTATAAGTTACTAACTTTGAGATTACAAAAATAGCATTTAATCTATATTTGTAAAACATGCGCTAGTGATTTAAGGGAGGTGCCTAATGAGCCACATAAAATTATAGAGGTGAGGGCTTGGGGGTATTTTACTTAGCCATGTACATGGTTCTGAGTTCAATCCCCAGCACTCCAAAGAATTGTAAAGACCCCCCCCATAAAAAAGACTGAGAAATATTTAATCTACTCTTCATTTATGAACAAAAGCAATTTCAGAGCTGAGAAATAACTTTTAGGAGTTTATCTAATTATAATATTGTTGAATTGTCTTAGGTAGCTGAAATTTCTTCTTAGTAGTCACAGTAGTATAAGCATGTGGTTTATAGTTGAGGCAGTATTGATTGAGGTCTGGTGCAAACACTGTGCATCATACTATTTTTTTGTGGTGCTGGAGATCAAACTTGGCCTTACTAGGTAAGTATTCTACCCTAGTCCTTTCTGACGTACATTTTAAACCAAGTTTAAATACCTGGTTTTTTAAACAAAGTTGTGCTCTGTCCCTAAGACAAATGACTTTCATAAAATGAATGCCACCCCCCCCGCAAGAAGCATGCTTGCTTTTTTTAAAAATGATTCAGAGATTTAGATCTTTGGATTTCAGTTAAAGATTCTTAGGATTTTGTACAAGTCAACTGTTTCATGTCCCTTTGTAAGTTTTTTTTTTTTGAGATAGTTATTACCTTTTAAGAAATCCTGTGAAGTAGGTACTATTATGTAATTCCCATTTTAAAGATGAGGCGACTGACGTATTAGGTAGTTCTAGAATTTGAGTTCCAAGGCACTCTCCTTCCAAAGTCCAGTGTTACACTGCTCCTATTTAGGATATACTGAATTTAGCAAGACATGTTAAATTGTTAACCCAGTTTTTAAGAATGTTTGTCTTAAACATCCATACTTACAAAAAGTAACTATCTTTAGAGTATCTAAGTTTTAGTATAAGTATGAAATACGTAGGGAGGTCCCAGTGACCTGTGACCAGTTCATTGATTTGACTAACCTGTAACAAATGCAAGTTAAATGATACAGAATTAATTACTGGCCATTTCAAGATTGTAAGGATATATATTGTATCTAATAGTACAAAATTGACAGTTGCAGTTTAGTACAGGATAATCATTTAGAGAAATGATGCCTAATTACATAGTAACTTCAAAATGAAGCCATATGTATTTCTGAAGCTATAATTTGAAAATAAGTAATCCATTGATACATTAAAAAAATTCCTTTCTTATGAATGACCATAAAAACACAGAACTGAGTCAAATAATAGAAGAACTTAAGAAAATAGATACCTCTGAAAAAGGAAATTAGCTAATTAATTTGGCAGTACTGGGGTTTGAAGCCAGGGCCTCTTGGTAGGCAGGTGCTCTTTCATTTGAGTCATGCCCCTTTTTGCTTAAATTATTTTTAGAATAGGGTCCCATGTTTATGCCTGTGCCTGTTTGAACTGTGATCCTCCTATGCATGCACTACCATGCTCAGCTTTTTTCTGCTGAAAAGGGGGGTTCTCACCTTTTTGCTTGTGCTGGCCTCAAACCACGATCTGCCCAATGTCCACCTTCTGAGTAGGTGGGATTACAGACATGAGCCACCAGCACCTGGTAGAAACTTTTTTAATCCATTCAGGACTTTTATATTTGACTCTGCAATAATGATTTTGTAGATTAAAGGAAAGCTTTGGGTAAATGGAGTGAAAGAAATCTTTTATCTCTAGAGCACATGATGTATTTGATCCAAAAAGCACATAAAGTTTTAGTAAAACCTTGTATGTTTCCTGTTTGACAGTCTTTATTTAAAAAATGGCAAAAAAGGTAGGGATGTTAGAGGAAAATCCCTGGTTGCCCTTGTCAGTACCTTGTCAGTATGTGTACATGGCCCTATCTTATTTTAGTTTCCTTGCTGTCAGGAAAGTTATTTGAGAAAAAAAAGATTTTTTTTTTTTTTTCAGCATTGGGGTTTGAACTCAGGGCCTCACCCTTGCTAGGCAAGCACTCTTACCTCTTTGAGCCACTTTGCCAGTCCTTTTCTTGTGATTTTTTTTTTTTTTTTTTGCTTTCAAAGATAGGGTCTTGTGAACTGTTTGCCCAGGACTGGCTTTAAACCATGATGCTCTTGATCTCTTGATCCTGTAGCTAGGATTACAAGTGTGAGCCACCAGTGCCTGGCTAGTGATTCTTTCTTTCTTTTTTTTTTTAAAAAAGAGAAACAGGTTTTAAAATTAATAGGAAGTTTGAGAAGAAATGAAAGAAATGTAACGTGGCTCTATAGATATTTTAAATGGAAATAACATCAACAAAATTTTTCTAGCTAATATAAACAAAAATTATTGAAAGAGTGTGGTGTGGATCATGGAATTGACAGGATGACTTGGAGAACCAGGCTTAGAAAAGGAGCAGAGAATAGGGGAGGTTAGATAGCTGGATTCTGCTATCAAAGTTGCACTGCAGTATGCTGCAACTAGACACTTAACTATGAATTCTGTTTTTTTCATTGTAGTTTAAAGTTCTGACCTAAGCTCAGATTAGCTGGACATAGACCCTGTGTTGT